TATCCTGTTATATAGCTTGTTTTGCATATTCCTCTGTTAATTATTTCCTATTTATCCTGTTATATAGCTTGTTTTGCATATTCCTCTGTTAATTATTTCCTATTTATTCTGTTATATAGCTTGTTTTGCATATATGTGTTTACATACTGTCTCCCTCATTAGATTGTGAGCTTCTTGAAGGCAGAGATTGTCTTTTGCCTTTTGCATACCCAGTGCTTAGCAAATTGCCTGGAACATAGTGGGCACTTAATAAATATTGACTGATTGAATAAAAAACTAGAATACATGGTGTTAAGTCTCTCCAAAGAAACAAAAGACAAAATTCATCTTTTACTGAGGCAGGCTGCCACCTTGCAGGAGGGAAATGACTGGTGGGGAAGCAGCTGTCAACAGTTACTTCATCTATTAGGATTTGGTTGAAAAGTCTAGAAAAACTCAGTGTCTCAGCCAGAGAAGGGGAACCCACGGCCTTGAGGCCACATGTGGCCCTCTGATTTGTTCTGTGAAATTTGGTTTCAGTCAAAGGGTCACACTTGAGGACCTAGATGACCATGTGTAGCCTCAATGCTGCAGGTTCCCCACCCCTGACCTAAGCCATTGCTATCAGCAACACTCTTCTAGTGGAGCTCAGCTCAATCCAGATTAAAATGTAATTGGGAAATATTTAACAAAAAATACAATAAAAACATAGATAATGTTAAAACATGGCTTTCTGAGTTAATATGTCACCAGCAGGGATCTTTATATAATAAGGCTTACTGGCCCCTGTTTCATTTTTTGTTTGTTTGTTTTCGGTGAGGCAATTGGGGTTAAGTGACTTGCCCAGAGTCACAAAGCTAGTAAGTGTTATGTGTCTAAGGCTGGATTTGAACTCAGGTCCTCTTGACTCCAGGGGTGGTGCTCTATCCACTGTGCCTCCTAGCTACTCCAACCCCTGTTTCTATTTGAGTTTGAGACCAGTGATCTACAATAACAGATATCAAAACCTCTCTTTGGAAAGCCCTTCATAACCTGCCTCCTTCTACCTTTCTGGGCTTCTCACACCTTACAATTCCCTAGGTACTTCATGATTCAGTTACATTGGCCTCCTTGCTGCTCCTTGATCAAGACTCTCCATCTCCACCCTGGGCATTTCAGTGGCTTTCTCATGCCTAGAATGCTCTCCTTCCTCATCTCTTCTTCTTGGCTTCAAGTCCCAGCTAAAATCCCACCTTCTATAAGAAGTCTTTCTTGATCCCCATTAACACTACTTCCTTCTCTCAATGATCTCCATTTTATCTTGTATACTGCTTATTTGTACATCATTGTTTGCATGTTATCTTCACTTTAACTTGTGAGCAAGGAATGACTGCCATTTGACTTTTTTGGTATTCCCAGTTCTTAGCAAAGTTCCTGACAAGTAGTAAGTCCTTAATGAACGTTACTGACTCTCAGTTTCTCCAACTAAAATACGAGGGGGTTAAATTAAACAATCTAAGATACCTTCTAGCACTAACATGGCATGATTATGCAATCCTCACACTGCCTGCCTCCCTTCGCTATCCCATTACCACCTCATTTCTGCACTGTCTCTGAATCCCTACTTTTTGTGGCTTATCTTTGTATTTTCTGTGCTGTTCACTCTCACACCCTTTGTGGTTATTTTTAAGGTGTTTGTTTCAAATTTATTACTTATTTATAAGTCTTACAAAAATTTTGAGTTCTAAATTCTCTCCTCTCCAGTCCCTCCCTAACCCACTGAGAAAGCAAGCAATATGATATTAATTATACATGTGAAATCATACAAAACATACTTCCCTATTAGCCATGTCACAAAAAAGCAAGAAAAATAAAGAAAGTGAGAAAATTGTACTTCAATTTTCACTCAGTTCATCAGTTCTCACTGTGGAGATGAATAGCATTTTTCATCACGAGTCTTTCAGAAATGTCTTAGATCATAGTATTGATCAGAGTAGCGAAGGTTTTCACAGTTGATCATCATTAAAATATTGCTGTTATTATGTTTGGATACCCCCTGGTTCTACCCACCTCACTTTGCATCAGTTCATACAGGTCTTTCACAATCTGAAACCACCCTCTCATCATTTCTTATAGCACAATAGTATTTCATCACAATCATATACTACAACTTGTTCGGCCATTCTCCAATTGAGGGTATCCCCTCAATTTCCAATTCTTTGCTACCATAAAAAAGTTGCTATAAATATAGGTCCTTTTTCATTTTCTTTGAGCCTTTTTTGGTTATTAAAGTGCAATTGCCATCCCATATCTCACTGCCCATTGTGTCTTTCCCAGTGAGTACCTAAAGAACTGGGCACGGATGCTTAATTATCAGTCTATGCTTCCTATCATGCTCTTCTGCTTACCCCACACCCCATATGCTCTGGGACTCTCACAAGCTACTATTACAGAATAGCAGTAATCAGAACTGATAGGAATTTTTTTTTGTTAATTCTTTCATTAAGAGGATTTGTTCTATCAAGTTTGGATTCAATCAAAGGGCCACACTTGAGGACCTAGAGGACCACGTGTGGCCTCAAGGCCACAAGTTCCCCAGCATATCCTAGACTAACACAGCCTTCCAATAAATAGAACAGAATCTAGACCTATGATTTCACTAGGTTAGGGCAGTCATATCAAACTTAAATAGAAACAGATCCCTATATACAGCACATTGACTTAGAAAACCAAAAATAGACATTATCTATGTTGTATTGTATTTTCATTTATTTTGCTAACATTCTCCATTTACATTTCAATCTGGTTCGGGCTATACTTGGGAGTTTGGGCCCCCTTGGGCAGAGATTTTGATACCTCTGTTTAGGGGACTCTCAGGTTAAGAGATTCCTTCTATCAAAGCAGGTTACTTGGTTAGTCTATCTAAGATTGAGTGCTTGCCCAAGGTTACATAAACAATATATGTCTGAAATGGGACTTGAACCTATATCTTCCAGAATTTGGGGCCAGTTTTCTACTCACTATGCCACAATGCCATGACTTGGTCAAGTTTATGCAAGTAGCTTTGTTTCCCTGCTAGAACAAATGTTTAAATTCCCTAAATAGGAAAGTCCATGAATTTAAAACATAATTTATACACTTAGAAGAGTGTAGGCTAGGGCTTAGTCTAAGATAAATAACCCCTTGAGTCCAGTGAAAGGGCAAGCCTTAAGTAAGGTGATATTGGGGAATCTTGGGGGTACCTACTTACATAGAGACTTGTGGTAATGCTATACTCCGAAGATCTCAACAAAACAAGCCCTAAGTAGATGTGGGGAACCCTTATCTTCCAAAACTCCAGCAGGTACTTAAGAAGAGGAGAGGGGGAAAGAATGGGGCTAATCCATCACCAAAGGGTAAGCCTGAGTGAGGACTTAGCCATCCACCACCTTCCCTGCCCCAGCCCTGGAACAACAACCTAGGACTTCCCCACCATGGTGGAAGGAAGGTTCTCAAGGGTTGGTAGGTACTGTTCAGGGGAGGAATGGAAAACCAGTGGACACCCTGGTGCCTGGACATTAGGGGTAAGATGGGAGAGAATAGCCAATGGGCACAGAGCACACGCAGCCATTAGCTTCTGCCTCCTTCAGACACCACCTTGCCTGTTTCCTTGAACTGTGGGAAGAGGAGAAACAGGTCCCTTAAACCATAATAGGGACATAGAAGAGGGAAATGAGGATTGCTGTATGCGTCTTGATGACGTATCCCTTTCCGACACCCCCCACCCTCACATATACATACAGACTGGGAGTAAGACCACACATACACATCTATTTGCATCTCTCACTGCCTTTGAACCTAAACAGAGGGTAGCAGCCCTGTTACACCCCATGTCTAGGGACAAGGCCTCACTACTAATAGTAAAGTGTGGAAGAGATTTGGTGCTTATATACAGACATGGATGGCGGTTATGGAGGAAAGACTGGTTGATAGAGAAAGGAACCCAATCTGCCTCCCACCCCACCCACTATCCCAGAGCCTTTGAGTCACCTACACATAGCCTATCCAGCACCTTATTAAAAAAACAAAACAAAACAAAACAACAAGAACAAAAACAGCAATTAGTTGAAATGGAAAGCTACCAGATAGCTTGCAAGTGTGAGCTCCTCTTCTCACTCATTTACCTTATGTCAGGATCCTTTGTCTCATTTACCAGCTGCAGAAACTTGTGTCCTTAATTGGAGGCATTTTTGCTTACTCTTTTTCCAGGTGTAAAATAAACAAGCTATCAAAAACAACTCTTATTCCAGCTGTTTTTGCATTTTGATGTGAATTCAAACATGTTTAAAGGTTTACATGACAGACGTATAAAATTATAGAATCTATAGAATCACAGAATGAACGCTAAAGTTGGAAGGCACTTCAGACATCTTTAACCCCATCTTTTCCTGAAAAGAAGTACCCTCTACATCAATCCCAACAAGGTGCCACGCAGACTCAGCTTAAAATACTCTGGCAAAAGGAAATTCTCCAATTTACAAGACAACCCAATTCTACTCTAAGACAACTATAGTTGCTACAAAGTTTTTTTTTTCCTCCCTACATTAAAGAACAAATTCTTTAACATTAGGCATATTTTAGATGGATAATTTTTAAAAGTTAAAAAAATAAATGGCTGGCCTGAAAAAAATATTTAAAATTTTAGAATTTGGAAAAAAATAGTTTAAGAGTTGGGGTTTAGAATCATAAAAACCATAATTTGACTATCATATAACATTTTAAAGTTTGAGAAGCACTTTAGATAAATTTTCTCCCGTGAGCCTCTCAACAGTCTTATGAGAGAGTTGTTATTACAGATGTCATGCTCGTTTTCTAAATGATGAAATAGCTCATCAAGATCAGTGATAACCTGTCCATGGTCAAATACCTGAATAAGAGAAATGATCTTTGTCTCATTTACCAGCTGCAGAAACTTTACATCTCTAAAAGGAGGCGGTACTCCGGCCAGGATACACTATATCCAAGAGGTGCTTGTGTGGGTGGACAGAGAAATGAAGACTTACCTCGTTTCATCAATGTAAACGGCTTCCAACACAGATGCTGCATATTCAATATTCTTCTTTAAGTCCACGACATTGATATCACCTTTTTCCAGCTGCTTTACTAAACATCTTAGTCTAAGAGACAGAAAGAGAAAGATTCATTTTATAAATGCCTGGGAACAACTTCAAATGCTCATATAGTCTCCTGCATTAAGAGTGTAAAGTAGCAATTTCCTACTAATAGTTTCTAAGATTACGAAGGATACTAATAAGGGTATACACTTACATACCTACAAAACTACGTTTATTGATTGATTCACATGTTATTATTGCTGTCATTATTGATGCTGCTGCCGTTACAGGAATAGTATCTGAGCCTACGATTTCATTGATTATAGAGAACTCCCAGATGAATTCCATCTACCAATACAAGTCAGCATCTTTTCTGCACTTAATCTTAGAGAGTTGCCTATAACATACTGAAACCAGCCTCCAGGCAGAACTTAGGTATGTTTTGTGACACTGATGTGTGCATAAACATATATACACATGTATACAAGTATACACGTATGTTTTGATATGATAATGTTTTTGATATATAAAACATTCACTCATATGTACACATATTTGATAGGATAATATTTTTGAGATATACATCTCAAAAACATATTCCTTGCAATAATTTTTCCAATGGATTTGTTGCTTTTGAGTAGTTTTGCCATACCTCACTAGTCAAAAAAAATAGTATAAGGGAAAGGAGGTGAGAAACAAGAAGTGAATTAGGAAGGAAAATGGCAAGAATTTGAAGTTTCTTCCCTGGGTCAAAACCACAAGGATCTTCCCCAACTTCCCTCAACCCCTCTCATATACATAAAGAAACACTAACTCATTTTGTTTCCTCCCAGACCTTTCCATCTTCCAAAATGTCCCTATTTCTATCAAAACCACCATCATCCTCCCAGTCCCTGGAGTTCCCAACCTTGGCATTGTTCTTCACTTCTCATGTTCTCTCTCCCCAGGGTGATTGATTGACAATCAGTTGTAATTTTTACTCTTTCTTCTTTCACATCTCTCACATTTCATCCCTTCTCTTTACTCACCCACCCACCACCTTAGTTCAGGCTCTGTTCAGTTCTTGCCTAGATTATTGTAACATCTTTTTAACTAGCTTCCTTGCCTTAGCTCTCTCACCATTCCAGATCATCTTACAAACAGCAACCAGTGATTTTCTTTAGGCTCAGAACTGGCCATGTTATTCCTCCTCCTCCCTACCAACCAACTCTAGTGACTCCCTATTGCATCTTGGATAAAATAAAAATTCCTTGGTGTAGCTTGTGAAGTCCTTCACAACCTACTGTCAACTCCTCTTTCTTTATAGCCTCATTGGACATTACTTCTCTCTTGCAATCTATGATCCAGCAAGATTGGCCTTCTAGCTGTTCCTCATTTGTGATACTCCATATCTCATCTTGGCATTGGCTGTCCCCTATGAGTGGGGTAATGTTGTTTGACTGGCAATAAGTTTTGCTATGTCTTAAAAATCTAAAATATTATTTATGTTTTTGTTAGATTTCTAATTTTTCTTGTATTGTAATTTTGGGAAATCATTGCATAAGAAATGGTATTAATTTGAGAAATAATACCCAGAGGATGATGCAATCATATCATTGGAAAACTAACTCTTCTTTTCATAGACTGTTGTTATTGTGGTTTGAAAAACTTTCAAATATTTGATTGGGTGTATTTTGCTTTAATAAAAAATTATTATTTACTGTTTGGGAAAGTACCACAGATTTTGCATTATCTGTAAAGTTCTTTGGAGACTTGTCAGATTTTCAGTCCCCTGGATCTTCAGCTTTAGCAAGGTCATAAAATCTGATCAGCCTTGCTGAAAGAATGTTTTGCTAAAATAATGAAGTGAGAAACTAAGATGGCTCACAGCTGAGGTGAAAAGGCTTACAAGTTATTTTGTGAAGAGTGATTTTTAATCTGATATATTGTTTGACCACTGCTTATGAAAATGATGGAAGTGCACTTGGAATTGCATGTATTGAGATTTTTACCATACATGTGAAACTCCAGAATATGATTTTAAAAAATTTCTAATGACCTATTTAAGTTCCAGGATGGATTTAAGCTAGAAAGGATGAATAAAATAGGATCTTGTATGTGTTTATTATTAACTATTATGGCAAAAACATGAGAAAAATAATAATAGCTATAACTAGCCCTGAGATGTGATCAATGAAACTTATTATCTGAGATAAAATCTCTTGGGATTGTAATTTGATATTATTCTGAGTTATTTATTTTAATTCAGTCTGAATTGTCATTAAGCCAATAATTCACCATTCAAGGGAAATGCCATGTGCTGTTCAAAGGGCCTGTGATCTGAGAACTGTTATAGATGGCTTTCTGTGCCTGGGAAGGTTGAGGGGATAACCTTGCAAATGTTATTGTAGGATCCTCTTGACCCACTTTCCCCATTGTGCTATTTCCTTTCTGAAGAGGAAGGTTCCCATTCGATTATGTCTGAACTTGACTGATAACTTTGAATAATAAGAAACTTTGCTGCATAATTGACTGTTCCAAAGTAAAGGTTAACTTTGACTATTACCTGGAATCAAACAGAGCTAAGGAAACTTTTCCTGTTTCCTTTCCCTAATGTCAGGTGAGACTGTACCCTTGAAGGGAAAATTTTGATGTTGTTATGACCATGTTCCTTCTTTATTTCATTGCAAATTGTTATAACTGGGGCAGGTGAACTGTAAAAGTTTGTTGTTGTTTTTTTTTTAAATATATGATGAATCTTGTCATTGCAATACTCAAACATCTCTGAATTATTATAATGAGATGCAAGTATAAAAGATTTTATTTTTTATTTTTCTATTTTGAATTTGTGTTCACTAACAGTTATATATTCATGTATATGATTAGGTTCTTGAAGTATCTCATTCCTTCTTCAACGATATATGAGGATACTATATATTATCAATAGGTCAGATACAACAAAGATGTGATATGATAAAGATATAAAAGTTTTAAATTTTATGTAAAGTTTTATATTTAATGGTATAGAGGTTTTTACCTTGAGAAAGCAACAAAGTTGGATTGTATTCTCTAAGAACTAGGATATAGATAGATGATAGATAGACAGATAGATGATGAATTGTTCAGTCATGTCCAACTCTTTGTAACTCCATTTGGGTTTTTCTTGGCAAAGATACTGGAATGATTTGCCATTCCTTCCCCAGCTCATTTTATAGATGAGGAAACTGAGGCAAAGAGGGGTAAGTGACTTACCCGGTCACCCAGCTACTAAGTATCTGAGGCTGGATTTGAGTTTGCAAAAGTGAGTCTTCTTGGTTTCAGGCCTACTACTCTATCTACTGAACCACCTAGCTGCCTCAGATGATAAATAGATATAACTGGTCTTCTCATATTTTTTTTTTAAGAACAATGACAAAAGGACAAGAGTTACCTCCATAAGGTTAGAAATGGCTTTCACCACATAAACTAGTACCTGGAAAACCAAATTTAAGAGAAACATCCCTCCAGAACTGCCCTAGGAATGAGATCTACTCCAGAATTTCCAAGGGAAAATGACTCCAAGTATCAGATGGTTACATGGGACAGCTAAGACCCAAGATGTAATAAACTGATTGAATGTAGTTGAATCTGTAACCTGACTTAGTTTACCTATAGAATCTGTTTAATTTGGTTTGTTTCCTTAGAGGATGTATGAGATTATGACTCTGCTTAACTAAGTTTGTTCAACTTGTATGACATCAAAGAAAGCATGGAACTTTGAATCTATCTTTTTTAAACTTTTTTTGTTATACCTATGGCTGTGTGTTTTTTGGAGGACTAGAAAATCTCCTGAATTGTATTTTGGGTCTTGTCTATTGTGTTTTTGCACTTATTTCTTACTACAAGTCTAACTCCCCTGACTTACAGACCCTGATGCTTACTCAATTTGATCCCTTTGACTATGAGTTGCCACCATTATGGTCCCTATCACTCCTTGAAAGAATGCTATGAAGTTCTTGATAAGAGGGGCAATGAAGGAGAACCATTACCTGACTTGGATTATTTTAATTAGCTTCCTTTGAAACCTCAGCCCAGCTGTCTGTTTCTGTTATCATGCTTCCTTTAGTAATAACAATGTTGGGCTTTAAAAAGCCCCAGAGGGGAAGAATTGTAGGAAAACTTTATTGCATTGTTTGAACCTAACCCGGTTTGGCTGAGAGACCAGATCTGTTGCTTAGAGAACAGATTCATTTAATGTTTAACTCAGGATGTTCAGGTTATGCTGACCCCAAAAACCTTCCCAGGAAGCCAAATATTAGTTAGTATGAGGTTAGGAACTGTTTCATTTGGCATTGTCAACTGGTTCAACATCAGAAACTGATATTATTTTAGCAGTGGAAATCATTACAAGGAATGTGAGGAGTTTTCTCTTGTTGAGACATCTCAAGTAACCTATGTGTCTTATCTGGAGACTGCCTCTGTACTGGCCAATCAAATGACTTTTTCCTTGCTTCTTTGTTTGAATCTTACATAATGTGCAACTCATAGAGGTTCGGTGGAACAGGCCACCTATTACAACTCTTTCCTTCTGCCAGACAACTTAATAAACTTCTTTCTCAAACTTTTTTTTTCAGTTCTGGGTTTATTCTCAAGTGACACAACTTAGGAAATGACTTCTACATAAAGCTTTTCCTGATTCCCCCAACAGCTAGCACCTTCCTTCTCAAAACACCCTCTTTTTAAGTGCATTACATTTATGCTCTTTATGTTTGTTTTATATATTTATATAGATACAGATTATCTTTCTTGATAGGATGTGAGCTCCTTGAGTTTAGGAATTGTTTCATTTGTCACAATTCAGCATTACAAACTGATGTGATTTAAGTAGTGGAAATGACATTTAAGAAGACGTATTACTGCTGCTGTACCCTGAAGACTGTGAGACCTTTCCATCTGACTTGCTACCAAAAAGATGACTCTATACAAAGCTGTGGAGAAACTATGAAACGCTTGGTATTTTTCATTTGTTTGTTCATCTGAATTTTTTGGGTTTAGATTTTTTAAGTTGATAAGGGTGCTATGTATCACAAAATAACTCAGAGTGA